CTATAATTTGAAGACGTTCTCAAGCTCCGATGAATGGGCATTCTTCGTGACGCATCTATGGCCTTCCGTTGAGCCCCCACTGCAACAATCTTCGTGCAGATTGAGTGCAGATTGAGAATGAACAGGCCGCCATGTGACAACTTGAGTTTTTTCTCCCCGGCTGTTCGTGAAGCAGAGACTACACTTGAACGTTGTTCATTTTGGGAATCGGTGATTCTGGACTCGGAAGATAGACTTCATTGGAGCATCTCATCCCTCTTGACCTCAAGCTACGCCTTCAATATTGCAAGTTCGGGAGCTAATCAATTCTCTTCGATCCATGCGGCCCTGTGCTTATATCGAGCTAGGACGACACTTGGTGCCGCGGCCCTCCGATAGCAGCATAGATCGCTATGATGTGAGGTTATCCTAAGGTAGTCTATCTGTAGATTGGTGCCGTTCATACTCCGACTGGGAGCTATCATGGGGGATTTCAACTACGCTCTGCCTCGCCCGAAGAGAGACTCCAGGTTATGCTAGGCTGTCGTTGGGAAGACACTCTATGTTTCTCTATGCGTCGAGGAGTTACTCGGAATGCCTATTGTTTTGTGTTTCCATGCTGATGTCCGAGGCTTGCTTCCTGAATTCCGTAACACTTCATCTTCGGGTGGACCACGACGCATTCCTCAGCAAGAGAAGTAAATGAGCGCCTCTGCTTGTATGCGACATGTGAGAGACGAGGTCGACTTCTATGTTGCTATGCATAGGGCATGGAGTCTCTAAAAGGCTGTTTGGAACCTTGTGGCATCATAATTGAGGATCGCTATATGTTTGGGCAATAAAACTCTAGCTCGCAGAACCTGTGTTCGACTGCGATACCTTGTTTCTCGAGGGTCCATTCGCCTCGTGTCCCCTCGGCATCATTAAGAATTTACAAGATTCCGTCCTACCGTTGGCGGTGATCGTGACACGATCGGACGTACAAGATGGAGTTGAGAACCTTCGTTAAAACTGCCTCGCAAGGGGCTTGTGGAAGGGATGATGAGGTGGATTCGTACAGCAGCAAATAGTTGAGATGAAATCGGCCTTGTGGACTTGTCCTAAGTGAGATTTTTGACGACTTACAACGTGGAGGTGGTACAGAGTTCTTGAAGTTTCTGGTTTCTGTTAGTCCAAGCGATCCTGCTCCTATACAGGAGACCGTATCTCCTACCTAAGATGCGGGCGGCGCTTTTTGAAGGGGTCACATTATGGAGAGAGGTTATGGAGGGGTGAAGAGTGTTCTTTAGGTGAAATAGGAGGGATTCGGGGTGCTAGGTTGCTGGTGCTTGAGGAAGGAGATATATGCAATAAGCCCTTCTACCAGCTGTCCGAGGGTTTCTCTCACCAGCCCAGAAGGCCTTGTTTTCGGATGTGACGCAGATGATATAGTTCTTTCGAAGTTCAATAGAATTGACACTTATTAAGACTATGAACCTGCGGATTGAGCGACAATCTCGGTCATGGTAGAGGTACTCCAAATCATTGCCTTAGGGCCGAATCCATGGACTTGTGTGCTAGTTCGTATGAAGAGCGTGGACCGGGGGTTACTATTACAAGATTCTCGAGTAAATATCGGGATCAATATCTCAAAGCTACCTTCCAGACCACGAACACTAAGTCATCAGGTCTCGCATATCAGGTCCTTGGAGGGATCGGTGACCATCACCACTAGTCACTCAACAATGGGAGCATGAGGTAGCCACTGTCTCAATAACCTAGTGGGGAGATCATATATAGTTCTAGTAGATGGCACGTAGTGAACGGAATACTGGAAATTTACCAAATATCATGGGGAGGCATGCGTCAAAGACATCAATGGTCCCCCCCCCCTTTTGGGGCTCGAATCCTGCCAAATGCAGGTCTAATAGTCTCCTTGAAAGCCGTTCATTGGACATTCAGACATCAAAAAACTCGAGTTAAACAGATTTTTGATAATATATATCTCATAAACCATCTCGGATATTGTGTTGTCTATACGAAGTCGTGGAGGTAATTTGGTCCGAGCAACCAATATCGATTTGCGATAAAACCAAACACGACTTCAACGATGAACAAGGCTGCATGAGACACGAAGACTAGTGAGCGGATGAGTGGGTGACGATGGAATGGCCGTACTAAGGATCAATTTCCTCCAGGATTCACTAAGAGGGAGGAATATTCGAGGCGGGTTTCGTTCGTTGACTACTTAGCGACGCCGTATCGTTCGCCAACGTCATACTGCCCCTCGCCCAGGCTCACAACAGACTCATGTCATGCACCCATCATCTCGTCTTCTATCGATCCGTATCCCCAGATCCGGAAGTACGAGAAGCCTCCATAAAGGCCAAGTGTCTCTTTGATGACTTCGCTTATGCATCAGTCAGTCCATCCGATACCAACAGAGCCACTACATGTAAGTGACGGAGGAAGATTGCACCATGAGGTTTTGGAAACCCTCCATTACTTCTTGTATATATCTGGTTGGGCAATTACTCCTTATCCCCACACGGAGGTCAAGAGATGATATTATAGAGCACTCATAGCAGGTAATTCCTATCCCAGTCTTGACTTGAAAACCTACACAAATCCCCCATAAAGTATTCAGGATTCATAACCTGGCTGGGGGCATAGGGCGAAGAGAGACATAGCGTTCAATGTCACCCAAAGACCAACCAAGTTAGAAAGAATCGACCCCCAGCCAGAAGGGGGTGGAGGCAGTCGTCTTGACAGATGGTAGGGGCGGAAGGCTAAACTGCACAAAAGCAATAGATACTAATGAGAGCGATCATACTTCGTATTAGGGGAGGGGAATCGTATGTAGCTCAGGAGTGCCCTATACTCGCAAGGCTGGAATCGTCACATGTCGAAGGAGAGATGGAATATCAGGAGAGGCCCGGCCCGAAAGTTTCGAATTAACCGGGGCTAAGTCTTACAACGAAAGTGAATGAGCTCAAATCTGCGCCCTAGCGGAATGATCAAATCTCTTGATAGAGAAATGGACTTTCCGCCAAAACAGAGCAATACGATTGTGGTCGAGGGACAGAAGAAATAAGTTGAAGGACGAGTTGTTATGGCTTTCAGTGCTGAGGAGAGCACGGGGAGTGTGTCACGAAGAAAGGTAAACGCCAATAAAGAAGCGACCCTGCTATTGAAGGGTTTGGAGCATCAGGATGATGCCCCTTCACGCCGGTCGAAGGTGAAGTTCATCTGGGATCGAGGGATGAAGTCGGCAAGTATGCATCAAAGCGAAAGGAATCTGGGGAAAGCGGCCAATTACCGTTTTTCGAATCACGGATCAATGCGGAATTGCTGCTTTCGGAAAGGAATAATGTTGTACCACCATAGATAAAGTTTCCCCTTTTGTCATTAACAACGTGAGTCCAGCTGGAATATTCTCCACTCTTCTTTGACTCGAAAGAAATTTAGGAGGCGTTAAAGTCATTACCCTGGACAGAAAAGTGGCAAAGGAGTTGCCGAAGATTCAAATTTATCCTTCAATTGCAGTGATAGGGAATGAGACCAAGAACTTCTTAAACAGGTAATTATCGAAGAGGTTCCTTCTTATGCACAAAACGGGGCATAGTGGGTCTCTCTGAGACGTCGCTCCTCATCAGCTCGTTCTTCAACACTTACCTCGCTTCTCGACTTGATGCTTCCCCCTTCATTTTTGGGTCAGATTTCAATTCTAGTAAATTTTTTTAATAAGTGGAAATTTCTTTTCGATTCTGTTGAACACTTGTTTGGTCCTTCTCCTTCACCAAGGCCGTTCCTGGCCATTAAATCCCATTCCGTATCAAGAGGCCATTCTCCTGGAATAAAAACGCCAAGATGCTGTGGTGGTAGGTTCTTAGAGGTCGTCAAGGCCCAGGTATATGCATTCTAAGCATAATCTCATCTTCTAGGTATCATTCTGTGCTGGCACGGCGACCAATTCTCACACAGAGTATCACGACCGCCATTTTAAATACCATCGGCGATGTGACGGCTCAACAAGTGATCGAGGGGCGGGGGAAGGACCATGACTGGCAACGAACCGCACGGATGGGTCTTTACGGAGGAGGTACGCTTCTAGACCGCCCGAGAGCTCTGCTTTATGAACCAGAAGCTCAATCTCCTAGCTGGATTCCGTGGACTAACTAAGGGGAACAGTTGTCTTCGGTCCTGCTGCGGCAATGTGGTACCGGGCTTTGAGCCGTCGCGTCGTTTTCAAGGACAAGAACGCGGAGGTTCTGGCTAGAGTGGCTGTTGACCAGACGTTATTCTCCCCAACATTCCTCGTAATATTCCTTTCGACTATGGCCTACTGTGAAGGGCGTGACCCCAAGGAGAACATCAAGAAGAACTTTTTCCCTATCCTCGCGACTAACTATATGGTTTGGCCGTGGGTACAACTCGCAAACTTTAAGTTTGTCCCCCTGAACCACAGGCTCAACCTGGCCAACACAGTTGCGATCGGATGGACTTGTTATCTGAGCTACATGAACAGTCGGGGTAGATAGGACGTCTGGAGATTTTATGCGCTAGATAGAGAGAGTTGATACCCAATATTGCGAGCAATAGACTTATCTGCGGAGACAAGCCAGATCAGCCGAGTAAACGAGCCATTTATTAGTCCTTGGGGCTAGTTTAATAGACCAAAAGTGAATCGTACGCGTTACCGCCAAGCAACTTTCGAGAATTGTGATTTGATGGTGCCTCGGAACGGTCCAGCAACCCCCACTCCAATGAGTCGCGTGATTTCTCCCGAATTCTGAACGGGCCGTCGGCAGCTGTTTCCAACGGGCATAGGTCCTTGTTCCGCTGATCAGAAGATTACGCCTCAGGCACCAACGCAAATTTCTTGCTCCGTCGCCAAGGCTGTGGCCTTCGGCGATGACTGCGGATGACCTTGATCTCCGCCACAACGAAGCGACCGCTTCGAATTCTCCCCCAACCTCTCAGCACTGCTGCCCTTTCCGTTGTTGTGCACATCGATAGATGCGTCAACAACTGAAATTATCATGCTACCGCTCACGGTGCGACGCGTAGCCTCCTCGGCTGCCGCCCAGTCATCGTTATTTACGCACGCGCCGAAAGCCGCCGCATCCCTTACCACCACCCAACGTAAAGGGCCTCTCCACCAGCGAAGATATTCTTCCTCGAAACCGAGCAGCCCTAAGAACCGCTCGAACGGATCCAAAGGTCTCCCTGCCGGGGAGACTGTGTCGGCCTCCGCGTCGTCCAATGAAGTGAAAACTCCTTCTGAGAAGAGGAAACGCAAGAGCAAAGTCAACGATGAGGCCAATGACCCTTTCCACGGGTTCCCAAGCGTTCCCAGCACGCAACATCTCTCCCAAGAAGGTAAAGTCGTCCCATCTCAAAACCTCACCAACTCTATTGTTTAGAATCCGAACTAATTTCGCGCCATTTCTGGCGACCTAGCTTTGGGACTCTCCAGTTTCTTCTCCATGCACCGCCCGATCTCCATTACCCACAGCCTACCGCGAACTGTGAGCGATGAGGCCTTTGCCGAGATCTTTACAGCAAAGACTACCGCCAACAAAACGAGCGATGTCATCTCCACTCTCTCACGAGCCGTCGATGACCTCGAGGGGCCAATGGCGAAAATGACCATCTCTAGGGATGGTCATGCCGAACAAGCCGGCGATGGAATGCAGAAGATCGATGTTAGGCATGCTGATGGTCGGGAATCGAGCATCTTCGTCCAGGTCAAAAGCATGACTGGCCAATTCCTTCCCTTCCAACCTCCGCCGATCCCGGAGCCTCAGGCCAACGGTGAAGTTCTCGGCTCTTCGGCCTCTGCCGAGGCTGACGTCGACCTCTCCCCCCAACATCGAGTCTATCGCGCCATGTTTACCATCGAAGAAACTCTGGATGCTGACGGCCAGGTCCACGTCCTGGCCCACAGCCCCAAAATCCTCAACGACGAACCCGGTACCCGATACATTGACCGCCTGCGAAGGCTTAGGTATGAGGACGCTCTGCGCAGGAGGGAAGGCTTCCATGCCATTAGCGTCAAGAAGCGAAGAAAGCTTAAGATGAAGAAGAAGAAGTTCAAGAAGAAGCTAAAGGCTTCGAGGAAGCTCAGGGAAAGGCTACACAAGATTTAAAGGCATTTGGTTATAGACAGACACATGCATATCTGGCATCTTGGAGTCGGTCCCTCTTTTGAGGCATCACTAATGGCATCCGTCGTTATTCTTTAGTTTTCTCTCTCTTTTTATGCCAAGGCATTTTAGACGAGCTGTTGTCGAGGTTGGGCGAGGGACTAGGAAGGAGATCCAGAAGTCTAGGACAGGACTTGTTTTGGAAGGTGCTGTGCATATGGGTTTCTTGAGCAGCAGCCTTTTCTCGCCCGGCTCTCTTGGGCCGCTTGTTGAAGTGACGGGCGAATTCCGGGGATGTTTTCCATAGACTTCTCCGCTGTAATATAGATAGTCGAGGTCTGGCGTGAATGGGAATATATCTGTCTCTTAAACCTGGTGCGTGTTGATATCTTGACTTGTTTGCCCCTGACTCTTGGATGTGTGGTCGTACTGGGTGAGTCCATATCACATCATCATATCCCTGAAAGTAGTAGATACTGCCCTGTGGTTGGGGTTTGAGCTAAGCGGGCTGTGGAAGAGCTTCTTGGTGATGATGGGCAGAAGAGTGTGGCTTGCTTTTGGCCCTGGTTTGCAGAACGCGTTGTGCTAAGGCAAAGTTTTACACCAAGGCTCACAAACTAGCGACGACAATAATCCTACATCTGCGACACTATCCATCCGAAACGTTAGGTTATGATTCTTTGGTTATTAGTCCTCTACCTTCTCCTGACTTCCTAGTTCCAGTGTTTTCGTATTTGAGATGGAACTCGGACGCCTGCCTTCTTGAATCCTCCCGCACTCTGGGTGGGACGACTATGAGAATAGGGTCAATGCAGAATATGGCCGGGCTAGAGTTTCTCGGAGAGGCAATGAATATGAGATCTCCCTCAGTCTGGGCCGTGGCTAGCTTCGGGGAGTCGGGATCACCGATGTTGGTTTTGGACGTTTTCAAAGGACGCTCATGTCACAGCTCTACGGCAACGCTCTCAACTCGCTCATCACCAACGAACTGGAAGGATACTAAGCTAGTTGGGAATCCTGGTAGTGATATGGAATAGCTAACGTCTCTCATATGTCTCATGTTTCCTCGAGAGGATCCAAACAGAGATGGGCGTGATATCAAATCAAGTAGCGATGATTAGTGTGGTAGGTTTCCTTTGGGTATCCCAGGTTCTTATACATGCCGGGAGAAGAACGTCCGAGTCCTAAATCGCCCATTGAAGAGAGTCAAAGGCCGCGGAGTTGTTTGAATTCGACAGCCGCATGCCAAGTAGCCAACAGCCTTGTCCAACAACCGTATTGGGAATTGGGATTTCCGAGGACATCCATTACACCATTACATGGGTCAGTTGTCTAAGAGGGACAGCCATGGATCTCCAAGAGATCGTTCTTTCGCTATCTTAGTGTATGTACATCCCAACCGGGGACGTGCTTATCAGTCATTTCAACTTCTAAAATTTACCAACTCCGCGGTTGATTAACTGAGCTAAATAGGTAGCTCTAGAGCGAGAAAAATGCATTAGATAGAAAAACTATGCCGAACGGAGTAAGCCCTTACATAGAGCGCAAGCGCCTCGCTGAGAAGCTTTGGTGGAACGATACGTGAGTATCCAAAGCGCGGATCATGCAGGATGGGCGACGGGTATTCTGGCTCATGCGTGGTGAAGAGAACGCTTCCGTAGATCTATCTGGGCAAGGCGCTCGTTTCGCTTGCGGACCACACAGACAGTACCACAACAAGGAGCTTGACGGGTTTGAATGTGGAACAACGCTTGAGATGCTTTCTATTTACTTTCTTTTGCAAGGAAGTGGCTGCAATGTGTTGGCACTGATTTTTTTTAGGATCTTGGGTGCTTTTCTCGACTTATAGGTCCATGGTGAATTCGTCTTATCGAGTTGTTGATGGCGACACCGAGTCGTCAATGCCTTTGAATCTCATAATGCAATCAATGATGGCGGCTGAAAGGCGGGATGAGACCGTTAATGGGACTGCCTCGCTGCCGGGCCACTCCTTACAACAACGTATAACGGAGATACGTGGGACGCTGTAGAGTAAAAGAGGTGGCTAGTATGGCCGGGGGTGAGATTTATGACGCAGCTTATTTCAACATCTCCGGCTCTTTTTTAGCCCCCAAATATCATTATGGAAAGAAAGGGGAAAGGGGGTGGGGGTGAGGACAGGAAGGGGGCTAGGAAGGGGGGAGTGTATCGCGATCTCTCGACGTCCCATGTGCACTCTGGAGATCTCTCGCTATGCCTATGGTTTGGCGGGAGTATGGCTATGCATGCCAGAGGAATGGATCGTAGGAGTGAAGCGTTGGAGAAGATGAACGTCTAAGTAAGCCTTTTATGTCGAAACTGATAGGGAGTCGGGAATAGATCGGTATGGCGGCAGTTCGCATCGTTTCCTTTTTAGTCGAGGTTCAGCATATCAAGGGCCACTTTGATGAGGCGCATTGTCAGTAAAAGCTGGACACCGTTGATATCTTCCCAGGCATACTAGCTCACAAAATCGGAAATTCTCTCCCAATCCTTAGAGGCTTAATTAAGAATTGTTATAGCAAGCATGAAGAAAAATGACTGAGGAAAGAGAACGAGGTCTTAGAGCAAGTTGAGACTGCGAGCTCGTCTTTCAAAGCCAATCCTTGCACGCTCCACTCTGGTGATGGCTTTCGTGTGTCGTGTGTTCTGTGATGCAGAGCATCGCTGATGTTTGAATTCAATTGTCGTCGAAGTGTGAAAATGTGTAACGTACTGTATATTTACACGATATATCGAGACACCCCCACCGTGCACAACCTTAAAATCTGAAACACCCCACCCTTGAAACCGTTTACTTCCGAAGTACTTCAATGGATGAATTGTCATCCTTGGGCGAGGTCTATGGGATTTGGCATTTTTATGGTTTTTGAGCTCAGAATATCAATGAGAAGGCATTTTGGGGAACTAGATCCTGGCTAAATACCGATATTTCCAAGTCTCTCAGAGATGAATGGGTGGCCTATGCTAGCCGCATCAAGATCAGATATCCTTCTTTCAGTCGTCGAGTCCATGGAGTACAAACAAAGTACCGAGATACCTATTCGACCACCCCCAAAACCCGAGCCGCATCACGTGGAAAAGATTACTAAGACGTTCACCGAGTTATCATTGGCCTAATCCTCAAGTGCCAAACAACCCTAACTTCTTGACTTCCTCGCTTCCCCAGAACGACCCCTTTTTTCGATGGTCTTGGCTTTTGCCGAAACACGAATCAGAGACGCTTCCATACGCCTTGATGCTAAACCCTGCGCTCCTCCGACGCATGTCGTCTCAAGCTCAACCTTGCAACCAGAGATCTCACCTTCCTCGAACAGCCCTGGCTCTTTTTAAGCTCTCCCTCCTCAGCCGGATCAAGAAGACCTGACACGAGGACTTTACCCTGCGAAACTTACTCCTACGTCTGATCTACCAGCGTAGCCGGAATGACGGCAGGGCACGTACTTACTCATTCGCTTGCTTCCCCAGGGCCTTCCGCTTTTGGTGGTTCTGATGACCTCAATGTTGCCTCGAGAGCTACGCTTTGTTGGTGAAGTGCCGCTCAAACCAGCTACGCTTTGCTTGGATATCCTCACAATGCTACCTTGAACCTAGCTTAGTTTCCCCCACTTACTCTGCTTCATTATTAGAGCCTGTTGCGCTCCGGGCAGCGGAGAAACGAGTCGTTGCTCTGAGTAGAGGGAGGCTTCTGCGTACGGAGAGTGCCGATGCCAATTGGAGCATGTTTCAAACCCAACATTCTTGCGTGTGAAGGATCTTGAATATCGAAAGTATAGGCACAAATAACAGTGGTATGGAAAGGAGCCGAGCTGGTCATGCCTCTTCGGGGAGCGTTCTGTCTTCCCTGTGTCTTATTTTAGTTGACCTCTTGGTTGATGCGCTTTCTTACACCCCTCCCTCTTCCATTACACATAGTAGGCTAGGATAAGACCCTTGCTCGATCTGCAGTTTGGCTTGGCCTCATGGGGACTCCCCTCCCATTATTTCGTAAAGTCGCCGATTCCCAAGCTTTCTCCACGGTCCGGGTGTTACACTCGCCGCTCATCGCCCTCCCACACTCAAAGAAGAAGAGTGGTAGATTCGGCCCACCCCTGCCGCCAAGCCATCCCGTCCTTGCCTGCATGAGTGTCACACACATCCTTTATGACATTCTGTGTGCCCACTCCCAAGCATTCTCTCCTTCCTTTTCTCACCTACTCTCTTCTCCCTCCCCTTCCCTTTTCCTCTAATCTGTATCTCGGCGAGGTAGACGAGACGATCAATACCTTCGACTCTACCTCTTTTTTGCTTGAGAGCCCTTTCACTTCCTCGCTGCTGGCTCAGATCACTCTTTTATATATTGATTCTTTATTTCTTTTTGTTCTTTGCACCTCGCGGCTGGGGCTCTAACGAGTTGTTCCGACGAATTCTTCCCCTCGTTCACGAAATTCGTATCTTTCTTTTCCGTTACCTAGCGTACTCGATAAATACGTAATACTGGCAAGAGGGGTGTGTCAAGGAAGAAAGGAAGAGAAGTCCACGGCAAGAGGAGGCTTTCCCGGCGTGGCTTTTTTTTCGACGAACGACCGAGGCCGAAATTATCGACCGACCTCCTTCGATCGAATCCGTCGCGAACCTGCTAGCCACGGCCGAGGTATCGTCGCAGGTCGACATTGAGTTGCGTTCTTTGTTGGAGTGAGGAAAGAACGGCTCGGCTTCAAGATGGATACCAAAACGTTAATAAAGAAGCAATTCACGGCGCAGAAGCTAGTGTTCCACTTCATCTTCTGGGGTGCCCACTGGGGTGTTTTCGCTTATGGATGGTAAGAATTGTTACCAGACCGAGGGTCGACGAGGGCTTCAGGGTCAATAGAGAGGATGACGACGCGGTCGCTCTCGGCCCTTTATTTGTGGGAATGTATGGTTTGCTGACGGTCTTCTTCGTGGTTTTTAGGTATAAGCAGGCGGCTGACCCACGGTTGGCTCCTCTGAACCTACTGCAGTTCTCCGTCTGGATCTCTCGAGGTGCTGGGTTTGTTCTCAGTTTCGACTGCATGCTTATCTTGCTGCCCGTGTGCCGTACGATTATGCGATGGATCCGCCCCAAGGTTCGATGGCTGCCCTTCGATGAGAATCTGTGGTTCCACCGTCAGCTTGCCTACGCCACCCTCCTCTTCACTATAATTCACACCGCCGCTCATTATGTCAAGTATGTACCTCTTTGCGACTCCTCTTCTTTGCCCGAACCATGGCGCTAATTTCGCTTCAGCTTCTTCAACGTCGAGAGAACCCAGCTTCGTCCAGGTTTCGCACTTGATATCCACTACAAGCAAGCCGGTGGTATTACTGGCCACGTCATGCTCTTCTGCATGCTTCTCATGTACACCACTGCCCACGTTAAGATTCGACAACAGTGCTTCGAAGCCTTCTGGTACACTCATCACTTGTTTATCCCGTTCTTCCTCGGCCTGTACACCCACACCGTCGGCTGCTTTGTCCGCGACACAGCTGATCCCATTTCTCCATTCGCCGGAGATGAGTATTGGAAGCACTGCATTGGTTATCTCGGCTGGCGATGGGAACTCTGGACTGGTGGTCTCTACCTCATTGAGCGGCTTTACCGCGAGGTTCGTGCTCGCCGCGAGACCAAGATCACCCGTGTCGTCCGACACCCTTATGGTAAGTTTCATTAAAATATACGCGAGCTGGGTGCGGCGCGAATCCTGACGGGTGGATACTTCCGACATGTAAGAAGATTTCTAACAATGGCTTAGATGTCGTTGAGATCCAGTTCGCGAAGCCTTCGTTCAAGTACAAGGCTGGTCAGTGGCTCTTCCTTCAAGTCCCGGCCATCTCCAAGTATCAGTGGCATCCGTTTACCATCACTTCGTGCCCCTACGACCCCTACGTCTCCGTACACGTTCGGCAAGTTGGAGATTTCACCCGCGCCCTCGGTGATGCTGTTGGTGCCGGTTCCGCCCAAGCTAAGCTTTACGATGGCGTCGACCCTCTTGGCATGTACGAAGTTGCCCTTCAGAACGGCCAGCAGATGCCCAGCCTCCGAATCGACGGACCCTATGGTGCCCCCGCTGAGGATGTGTTTGACAATGAAATTGCGGTGCTGATCGGTACTGGTATCGGTGTTACCCCCTGGGCTTCCATCTTGAAAAATATTTGGCATCTCCGCAACGGTCCCAACCCACCCACCAGGTTGCGGCGTGTTGAGTTTATTTGGGTCTGCAAGGATACTGGGTCCTTCGAGTGGTTCCAGACTCTCCTCTCCTCTCTCGAGGCTCAAAGTAATGAGGCCGCCCGCATTCCCGGTAGCAGTGGCGTGGAGTTCCTCAAGATCCACACCTACCTCACCCAGAAGCTCGATATGGACACGACGCAAAACATCGTGCTCAACTCCGTCGGTGCTGATCTCGATCCTCTGACTGAACTCAAGTCGCGCACGAACTTCGGTCGCCCCAACTTCCCCAAGATCTTTGAGATGATGCGTGATGGTATCCTTGACCGGACTTACATCAACGGCCTCGAGAGCATGCGCACCACGGTCGGTGTCTACTTCTGTGGTCCCTCCGCAGCTGGTAAGCTCAGCGTTTCTACCCCCCAACCCGTGTTGAACTTCGAAATGGTGCTAACGAGTTGTCTTCCTTACAGCCCGCGATATCAAAAAGGCGTGCAAGCAGGCCACCGTCAGCGAGGTCCTCTTCCGATTCTGGAAAGAACATTTCTAGATGTACATATTCGGGTATTGAAAAGAAACCAACATCTGGCCCTATTTATCTTCTTTTGCATGTCTATTTATGGCTCTGTCATACAAACAAGAAATGCTTTCCACAATTTCTTTTTCTTCATCCCATTTATTTTTCATTCATTTGTTCCAGAACGTATGGTGGTGGTCAATTCTTGCGCATGGTGACGGTCAACCCAAACCAAAGACGGGCGAAGAGCGGACATGGTCCTCGTGGATGAATGCGCCTTGCGATGGAAGAAGAGAGTTGGAACGGCTCTCTCCGGGATGAAGACACATTTTTCGATGAAATGGAGACCTTAGCGAATCTTCCTGTTGTTTGCCTTGAGTTCTTCTGCAAGGCAAGAGGACTTCAATATGACTGTGGCGAAACTCTTGGGCTTAAACACGGGCAGTTAGGGGATAAAATAGATCTAGCCTGCTAACGGGGCCGTTGCCTTTGATGGAGGATTTACTTCAGGGAGAGCAGTGGAGTGAGGGGGGTCAGGAAGTGTGGGAACTTTGCTAGAGGTTCTATGTCCTTAGCTTTTCAAGAATAGAGAAGGCGAGATTTTTTTTTATATACGCGAGGTTGAATATAAGCCAACTCTTTCACGAAACAGCGCTTCAGTCTGATTTTACTCAGAGAGTCCTTTGGAAGTGCGGACCATGTGCCGAGAGAGGTGGTATGGAGTTTGAACAGGACATCCGACATGCCGAGCAGATTGGTTGGGGAATTAGCTATATCTGGGCTGCAGTAGTTATGGGAGAATCATTTTGGGGCCGCCTCGGGAGTTGGAGCACGGTGATTTGGGACGACAGCGGTGCTGGCTTGAATTTTGTAGCATTTCTTTTGGCCATGGTATAGATTTCGGCTACCGAGTTCCTGTTTCTATGACCTTTGCACAAAAGAAGTCGCTGATTTGATCATCGGAATCCCTATAACTATCCACGACGCTCGGGTTATATCGGGAATCCTTATTCCTCAGCAGAGTCGAGTGATATCTATACGTCGATATCCCTAGACTGCCTATTGAGCGCTGACAGGCTTTGACGAGAGTTATTTTCTCCGAAAGAAACACGCATGTCCAGCTCATCGTGCTTTCAACAACATGGACATAAAAACATCCGGATCAGGGTATACGGCCAATATCTTCTTAGACCCTTCTTCCGGCTTATCTCCGTCGCTCGTAGAGTCCCTTGTTTCCAAGGGTAGAATGTAGGTTGCATCAGGCGTATACCGGATCCTTCGCTGTTGAAACACCATCCTCTCGTGAGGCATTTTCGCTGCCTTCTTTTGTCTCCGCGAACTTCTGTCGGTGAAGTTGACCCCATAACTCAGGCCCATATTCTTCGGGTTTTTCGCCATCCCGCGCTCGCCGACCTCGATGTAGTCCTTTGCATAGTGTGGTCCTTTGGTACGCCGGACCTGTCTCGGGTAGCAAGGCGATTCGAAAGATACAGCCTCGTCGTTATCGTTCTCCGCATCCGTAGTCACATGGTCCTGATCCTCCTTCTTTTCATCGGTAGGAAGTCCCTTAGCAGTCGTTTCGGCACCGCCTCCTTCCTAAGCAGCAGTCGCAGCGTCGCTCCCCTTCTCCACAGCCTCCATGGCTTCTTTCTCTCTCTTCGCCCTCTCCAGCTCCTCTTCCTCCTGTGCCTCCTTCTTCCTGATCCCGCCGCAACCTTCGTTGTCGGTGGGACACGCCCGGGGCTTCAGCCAGATGGACACGAACTGCGACGTGGGGAATTCGCATTCCGACGGATGAGGGGTAGGCTGGAGGGCCTTGATGGAGTCGCGGAGGAGGAGGAGGTGTTCGTGGCAGCGTTTCCAGCGTATGTTGCGCCAGTAGCCGCAGTTTTGGCACTTAGCGATGACTTCGGTACACATATTTGAGGCGTATCGAGGGGGGGGTGCAATGAGCGTCGGGCCGAGTATGTGATTGTACTGAGACGGACTTATGCTGTTGAGTATGTGAACGGGCTCATGACCTCTAGAGCAGAGATGTTTAATAGTGATGCCTTAAGACTAGGAAGAGCCATAGCTTGTCAGCCCTGGTCAAGCGATGGTAGAAATGATGTAAGAGAGGATTACACACCTTCAAAGCAGGTGTAGGTAGTGGTAAGTGATTAGGGAACATGTGGCTATGGGATGTGATCTGAGAGGTAGTCGGGGGTTGATCTCGAATTAAGGGGATATGTTCGAGGGTGAAAATAGCGTCACAAATTAGTGGCGCTATGTGAGGTGAAGAGAGGCAAGAGCCGGAAGAAGCACTACTAGTGTTGATAGTTGAGAGTGGAACACGAAATAGACGCGTCTAGATGGTTCATGATAGCCTCATCACTCTTTCCTTCTGATGACCATCCGTTTATCTTCACATGTGATTTTGACAGCTGCTCCTCTTTAGGCTTCATTTTCTGGCTCATAGCCAACAAAGGCAGTCCTCGACTCGACACTAGCAAGATTCGTCAGACAAAGGTCAATGCAGAAAAAAATATTGGTATTTTATAGATCCTTCTCTTCAGGCACCAAGTCGGATTCCCCCCCTCTTGGAAACTCGTGCTGTACATCCTACCACTTTAACTCATCTTCGCTTTCCTTCCCAGCTTGACCTTTTTCCTCTCCTTCTCGCCAATCTCCTTATCGTAAATCTCCGCCGCTGTTGGTCCGGCCTTGCGCTTTGTCTTGCCTGACTTAACGCTGACAACTACGTTCTTCTGCCCTCGCTTCGCCGCGTTCATGACCTGCTTCTCCGCATCGTCCCAGCCCGGCGCATCACCTTCGATTTCGTACCTAAAGTTGGCCGTATTAGTAATCTAATGTTACTCAAACAATTTGAAGCCTCTCACAGACTCGTGAAATGGACTTACTGGTCGAGAGGAAGCGAGTCGATAAGTTCTCGCTTCTTCTTCTCCACCTCGGTCAGCGCCGAGTCATCCTGGAGATCATCTTCTAGCGAGATTGCGAATGGCTCGAACCGCTCATTGACACGCTCATCGTCATGCGCTCCACTGGCGTTCTCACGGCTTACGCCAATGCTATCGGGCTTGGGCATCTCCGCCTCGACGGCACCTTCCACTAGCGCAGCAAAGTGCGCAGTAATCTTGCGGATAATCTTGTTGAAGAGCGGCAGAACCTGCTCCGGCTGGATCGTTAATTCCTGAGAAATGGTATCCATGTCCTTGCGCTGAAGGCCGACTGAGAGGAGAATGGACTGCTGCAGGCCCGAAAGCTTGATGTCTGATCTTAACCGGCCGCTGAAGTAGAGCATTGCGAGTGTTGGCACGAGGTCAAGAATGACACGATAGTCGAACATGTTATTCGAGTACGAATCGAGGCGCTTCAGGTCGAACGGCGTCATAAGCTCGTCCAGCTCAGACTTCCTAAGGCGCTTGACCTCGGCCTTGTCGAGCCGTGCACCGGCAATGGCGGACTCATCAATGCTCAGAGCTGTGATCGGAGCAAAAGTACGGAAATCGTAAGAAAGGAGCGACAGGTATCTGCGGTGGAAATCTCGTGCAAATGCTCCGAGCCAGCTTTGGTCCCCGCTGCTTTCCAGAGGCCGGAGCATCACGCAAGTGTGTTCTCCAGTCAACTCATTGGGAGTTTGACGCAGGTACACCGGCGCGAATGTGGCCTTCTTCCAGAATTTGTGGAGCGGCGGCGTTAAACCGTAGCTAACACCGACATAATCTACGCTGGCAGGTCGTCGCTCCTCGAGCCTGGCGAACAAAGGCGGCATCTTGGAGATGTCTCTGACCTTGATATTGTCGTCGAGGAGTGACGCTCCTGCGAGCTCGTCGTCGGTGACTCGTGGGAAGGTTTCCTCGGCGGAGGTCATTGGCTCTTCTTCCGAGAGATTGGTAAATTTCCTGTCATAGTAATTTACTAGAAGGTCCAGGGCCCGAGATCCGTATCCCATCGAGACATAATCCGGATTTGTAGCTATCCTGACCACTCTCGCTCCCGATAGAGACGCGAACTCTTCATCTTGGAACTGTTGGCTTACGAGCCAGGGAATAAGGTCTCCCGCAGGCCTCTGCCCACGTCCCAGGCTGTTGAGTACACTCTGTCGGCTAATCTGACCTTCTAAAGCCACCTGTATCACACAAAGAGGCTCTGGTAGTTTTTGGCTATCTTCGGACACAGGCGGCACTAGAACAAAGAGCTCGTGAGCCGGCGCATCGCTCATGAGCTGAAGATCGTTTGGCGAGTTTTTGTAGTGGCTGGCCACGTAGAGCGCAATCATTTGCTGGAGGAACCTTTCGGAGACCGGGTGGAAGGAGAAGAGGGTATCTCGGTTGACGTGGAGGAGCTGGCATTGTGACGGGTCGGGGCAACCGTGGATGGTGTTCTTGGATCGAGGCAAGGTTGCGTCAAGGCAGAGGAGACTGTTGAGCCATTTTTCAACGGCGTCGCCTGGCGCGTATCGAATTGGCTCGGAGAGGGTAATTTCTCTTAGAGACCGTCCACTAGAAGGCACGGACTCGCTCTTGGCCGCCTTGCCAGTAGATCGATCAGCCACTTGCGTGTCCGGAGCCACGTTGGCATTCTTAGCGTGCGCCTGCTCCCGCAACTGTTTAATGAGCTTCAGGGACAGGGATCGACCCGTGCCTTCATAACCGTTGATAGTAGACGCCATAAACACTAGATAGGGGCCCATAAGCTTCCTGACGAGCGGAAGAGGAATGGCGGCAGCCTCGTCGATCACCACCAATTCCGCTTGGCCTAGGACATGAGCATCTTGTGGTCGGATGTACTGAATTGTTTGCCTATGCTGGCGGTGGATGTTCACACGAACGATTGCCTTATTCCAATCCTTGTTCGTCGACTGAATGATGGTATAGTCGATATGATCCGCGTATCCGAGAGCGTCGAAGCCCTTAAATATGAACTCGAACAAGGTCTTCAAGTTCTCGGGAGATGGTGATGTGATGAAAATGTTGCTATACCCGTGAGCCACAGCAGCTGCCACAGCAACACCCATCGCCGCCGATTTTCCTCGACCACGCGCTGCGGTAAGAGTCACAGTACTCCTCAATGTCTTCTCCGCGATGGCATCGACGAAGGTTAAAAGAGCCTTTGCTTGGTCTACCGTCCGCGCTAGACTAACGAGCGAGCCGACAGGTTGCGTATCTTGAAGAGAATCTTTCAGGCCATCTAGCTCCCTTTGCGCGGGGGTCTTGGGTTGATCGAGGTCGGGCGGCGGAAGCGCCTTCACCTCTTTGCCTCCGGAGATCGGTAGCACGTTAAGTTCATCATCGATGACAAGACAAGATTGGCAGCTGCCGAGGGAAAGGATGAATCGTTCGTTGAACCTCGCGACAACGTCGTCATGAGCTTCGGTTCGGTATCGAGAGTGGACGTCCATGGTCAGAGTGTAAAGCTGCTTCAGACTCGTCATACCCTTGAGCAACAGGACCACTAAGCCGCCTCCCTCCACGGTCTCAATTGTTCTCGCGAGGATATTTGGTGTTATCGCTTCGAAGTCTTGGAGAATACACATGCCGTATGTGTTACCGAGAATCTTTTCCGTCTCCTTGTAGTAGACATATCGAATATCGTGGAGAGATACAAAGAGTTCGAAAGGGTCTTCGGAGTTCGCCTCGCGGATACCACGCTTGATTTCCTTCTTGATTTTGTTCTCCCGCTTTTTGCGGTGACTGTAGCGGAAAGATTAGCCCACGAATTCTAGTAGAAAGGCAAAAAGTGTTCCAAGAAGGCGAGAGTCTCACGATGTAAAGCCTAATAGCTTGCTCTTATATGCCCATAGGACGGATTTGTTTTGCTTGATGTCCATACTCGACATTATGTAGTGTAGATGCACAATGACATCCTTGGCTCGGTCGCCGACAACGACGAAGAAGCTGCGCTTCTTCTCTTGTAAGCCATTGCGAATGAGGGCGGGAATCCTCGAATCACTGGCAATTGTTAGAATGGCTCAAGGATGTTTTGAAGAGCACAAAGGATCTTGAACTTACACTGCCTTGCGAGCCATCTTCAAGAAGTGTGCTGACGAGCCAATGCCGATCCACACTCTAGATTGTCTGTCCTCTCGATATCGATATCCGACCCAAGCGACGCAGATGCGACAAGTGGGAATAATTTTTGGCGGACAACTTTTTTTCCAGATTCTGCCAGGCGGTGAAGCGTGCCTCTGTGCCTGAGGTGGGGTGCCTGTGGCTTGTGAGATTTCATCCACATGTGAGGTGGCTGATCGTGGCTGGTGGCTTGATTCGATCGCTAAAACGGAATATAGCTAAATTTTATTAAAACGAACGAGAGTGTTACGATTTGGGAACCTGCAACCGGCTTAATTAGTTGCGACAGTGTGTCGGAAAAGATTCGGAACATTCGTCATCCACTGGCGGCGCAGCAGGTTCGGGCGCCCCGACACAAGGCACCATTCGCTCCGGCCCTCGAAGAAACCAGAATAGGCGATTTGCTGTGCATTCACTCACTCTTGAAGAGTCTCTCTTTAATCCCATCGCGGTCCTTTGATGCAATCACTTTCGGACCGAACGTCCTGTATCGAATCCTCCAGTCTTTCTCAGGGCCCTCTTGACCTATCCTGCGTTGGTGTAATATCCTTCTGCCCCCCTTAAGCACTTCTTACTTATCTCCTCCTACAACCGTCAACTCGGGCCTCAGCCTAACCTACCTGAACTCAAATTTTGTGGACGTAGGCTTTAAACCGACCAAGCCTCGTCCTCTGTGAAACTTTTCAGTCAACTTTTCTCTGCCCAAGATGGTGAGGCTCCCCCCCCCCGGGCCCAAACGGGGTCCATACTTACGGCTTATGGCAACTGAGACTAACCTTTGCGCTTCGTTCGCTCCTTATCCTAGGGTATATCTAGACGACCTAAAGATAAAGCCGCCCGGCAGGGCCGTGGTGGTGATCAAGGGGGAGCCGGCGCCCGACCCAAGAAGGCAACATTCGAAACGACAAAGAAGAAGGAGATCGGTGTTTCTGACTTGACGTTGCTGAGCAAAGTGTCCAACGAGGCGATCAACGAGAACTTGAAAAAGCGATTCGAAGGCGCCGAAATCTACACTTATATCGGCCATGTGTTGGTCTCCGTCAACCCTTTCAGGGATCTCGGCATCTACACTGATCAAGTGTTAGAGAGCTACAGGGGCAAGAACCGTCTCGAGATGCCGCCGCACGTCTTTGCTATCGCCGAAGCTTCTTATTACAACATGAAAGCCTACAAAGATAACCAGTGTGTAATTATTTCCGGAGAATCCGGCGCTGGAAAGACGGAAGCGGCGAAGCGCATCATGCAGTACATCGCCAACGTCTCGGGCGGTGAATCCGGCGATATCCAACAGATAAAGGACATGGTGCTCGCCACCAATCCTCTGCTGGAGTCCTTCGGTAACGCCAAAACGTTGAGGAACAACAACTCGTCGCGTTTCGGAAAGTACCTCCAGATATACTTCAACTCGCAAGGCGAGCCCGTCGGAGCCGACATTACAAACTACCTCCTCGAAAAATCCCGAGTCGTCGGCCAGATCACGAATGAGCGCAACTTCCATATCTTCTACCAGTTTACGAAAGGCGCCTCACAAAACTACCGACAATTGTACGGTATCCAAAAACCCGAGACTTATGTATATACTAGCCGATCTAAGTGTCTCGATGTCGACGGCATCGACGATGTTGCCGAATTCCAAGACACTCTTAACGCCATGGAGATCATTGGTCTGTCGCAAGCCGAGCGAGATGAGATTTTCCGTATGTTAGCAGCCGTCCTATGGGTGGGAAACATTCAGTTCCGAGAAGACGACAGCGGCTGGGCCGAAGTCACTGATAGGTCCGTTGTCGAGTTCGTGGCATACCTGCTTGAAGTAACGCCCGAACAACTCGTCCGCGCCGTTACAATCAGAATCCTCACTCCCAGGAGTGGAGAGGTCATCGAGTCTCCCGCCAACCCTGCCCAGGCACTAGCGACGCGAGATGCGCTAGCTAAAGCCATCTACAACAATCTCTTTGATTGGATCGTTGAGCGCATCAACCGGTCGCTCAAGTCTAGGCAGGCGACGACGAACACTATTGGCATCCTTGATATCTACGGTTTCGAGATCTTTGAGAAGAACAGTTTTGAACAGCTTTGCATCAACTACGTCAACGAAAAGCTACAGCAGATCTTCATCCAGTTGACGCTGAAGACTGAACAAGAAGAGTATGCCAGGGAGCAGATTCAATGGACCCCGATCAAGTACTTCGACAACAAGGTTGTGTGCGATCTCATCGAACAGATCCGGCCTCCTGGTATCTTCTCCGCTATGAAGGATGCGACAAAGACGGCCCACGCCGACCCCGCGGCTTGCGACCGAACGTTCATGCAGAGTATCAACGGTATGAGCCACGCTCATCTGACGCCTAGGCAAGGCAACTTTATTATCAAGCACTATGCCGGTGACGTGAGCTACACGGTTGACGGAATTACGGACAAGAACAAGGATCAGCTCCTAAAGGGTCTCCTCAGTCTCTTCCAGGCCAGTGGCAACAGCTTCGTTCATCAGCTCTTCCCTCATCAAGTCGATCTAGATAATCGAAAGCAACCACCATCCGCGGGCGACAGGATCCGGACATCAGCGAACGCCCTTGTAGAAACATTGATGAAGTGCCAACCATCGTACATCCGAACCATCAAGCCGAACGAGAACAAGTCGCCTGCCGAGTATAACGTCCCTAATGTGCTCCATCAAATCAAGTATCTTGGTCTGCAGGAAAACGTCCGTATCCGTCGAGCCGGTTTCGCCTACCGTCAACCGTTCGAGAAGTTTGTGGATCGTTTCTTCCTGTTGTCACCAGCAACCTCTTATGCCGGCGAGTACACCTGGCAAGGGTCGTACCAGGATGCCGTGAAACAGATTCTCAAGGACACGAGCATTCCCAAGGAGGAGTGGCAAATGGGAACCACGAAGGCTTTCATCAAATCTCCCGAGACGCTCTTTGCGCTCGAGCATATGCGCGACCGCTACTGGCACAACATGGCCACCCGTATCCAGCGCATGTGGAGAGCTTACCTCGCTTACCGTGCCGAATCAGCCACTCGCATCCAGCGATTCTGGAGGAAGAAGCGGACTGGTGCAGAGTACCTACAATTGCGAGATCAGGGTCACCGTGTTCTAGGAGGTCGCAAGGAGAGAAGGAGAATGAGTCTTTTGGGTTCCAGGCGTTTCCTCGGCGACTATCTCGGCATCAATGCTTCTGTCGGCCCCGGCTCCCAAATCCGAAACGCCATCAATCTCTCCACGGGAGAGCAGGCTGTGTTTTCGTGCAGAGGTGAAATTCTGGAGGCCAAGTTTGGACGATCCAGCAAGCCGAGCCCGCGCATTATCATCGTTTCTACCCGAGCCTTCTACATCGTTGCCCAGGCGCTGGTGAATCACCAAGTCCATATATCAATAGAGCGATCGATCCCTCTTGGCGCTATCAAATATGTTGGCGCGTCGAGTTGTCGGGATGATTGGTTCTCGCTTGGTGTGGGGTCCCCACAAGAGCCCGATCCTCTGATGAACTGCGTGTTAAAAACGGAAATGTTTACGCAGATGCAACGCATGATGCCCGGTGGCTTTAATCTCAAGATTAGCGAGGTGATCGACTACGCCAAGAAGCCAGGAAAGGTGCAGATGGTGAAGGTCATCAAGGACTCGCAAGTAACGGTCGACTACTACAAGAGCGGTGCCATTCACACGCAACAAGGCGAGCCGGCGAACTCCGTCTCGCGACCCACTCCTAAGGGCAAGCCTGTTCCTCCTCGACCAATCACTCGTGGCAAGCTCATCAAACCTGGTGGTCCAGGAGGCCGACCTTCGAGGCTTACCGGAAATCGCACGCCTCAGCCGAGACCTGGCGCTAGTAGTAGCACCTCATCTAGGCCCGTGCCCCAGCCTGCTGCGGTCATGGCTGCCGCCGCCATACCAAGCCATACGCGACCCCAGGCATCGCGTGTTGCAGCCGCTGCTGCCGTCACCCCAGCCTCGAGAATGCCACCACCGCCGCCACCGCCTGCACCGGCCGCCAAGCCAAAGATCATGGCCAAGGTCTTGTACGACTTCTCTTCGGACAAGGCAAACGAACTATCAATTACCAAGGGCGAGATGATTGAAATTATCCAAAAGGAAAATAACGGTAAGTTTTATGAGATCCTGTCTCGAACATGCGGTGTAGCTAGATATCTAACTTTGCTTTTCTTTTGTTAGGCTGGTGGCTAGGGAAGAATGCTCGCGGTCAAGCGTGGGTACCATCGGCGTACGTTGAGGAGCAGGTCGCTCCGCCTCCCGCTCCCGCTCTGGCGCCCCGTGCGCCCCCACCCCCTCCGGGCGGCCAAAACGGAACACGTACCAAGCCCACACCACCGCAGCCTCCCGTCAAGCGCCCCGCTGCTGGGCGCAAGCCCGCCGGATATCAAGCTAGGGACTCAGGCATGAGCCTGAACGGCGGGGCTGACGGCAACCCCACCCCCAATTTGGCGGGCAGTCTTGCGGATGCCCTCCTGGCCAGGAAGAATGCAATGCAAAAGGGTAGGGATGATGATGATGACTGGTAAATGGCACGGAAAATGGAAAAGTTTACTTGTTGAAGTATAGAGACTTGCCTTGGGAGGAGCGATTGTTCTTTGTTTCTTCTTCCTGGATCGGACGCGTATTTCATCCAGAGGGCATCAGAAGGGATGTATATGTATGATGGTTTTTATGATAGCTGTTCAGAATATGACATTCATGCCCGTAACCCTAACCCGATGAATTACTTCAATGTCTTACTAACACAATGTTTGTTTAAACGTGATCCCGAATTTCTCATCAAATTGGATCTCATTAATACTGTATTTGTCTATCCTTGCGGTCAAAATCATTTATGCGTCTGCATCGTCAAGCTCTACTATCCTTCTTCTCCGTAGTATCTCTCCGAGGGGAATATCCTCGTCGTCATCTATCCTCCGTATCAACGGTATGTCCTCGTCATCCTCATCATCCTCATCCACACCGTAATCACGGAGCGTCTCGCCATCCGCATTCTTAAATTCTGTCGCTGCTTGACCATCATCGCCATCTACGTCGTAAGGTTCAACCTCCTCTAGTTCGGCAAGTATGTCAGCCCTTTGCCTCTCCCATCTCCGTAAATCGGCCTCCTGTCTCCGCCGGAACGCCTCCTTATGTTCCTCGGTGGAGGAATACATAGGAATCGCACCCTCGTCGTCCACCGACTCGCCAGGCCAGCCCGGGACGGCACGGCGATGGCGATCTGGATCGGGAGGCGGCCACATTCCCCGACGGGAGTTGAAGCCGTTTTCTTCATATTCCCAGCCTGAACCTTTGCCAGTGCGGGATATGCGTGGACCGCCGGCGAGTGGGAAGAACCAGAGGAGGAAATTCTTCGTGCCCATCGCATCCGCCATGTTTTTGAAGAAGCCAATGTCGTAGGGGAACTCGACCTTTTCAGGTGGTCCGTCAACCTCGTCGTCTCCGTCCCACCAGCCGCCTCCTCTTCGCTCGACGAATCGCTCGTGCTTCTCGATTTCCCAGCCTTCGATCATGGTTGTGTTGAGGACCCATCCCCTTAGGGTGCTGGCGAGCATTATCCCTAGCGCTGAAGATGTTACGAAGCATACTAGCCCCAGAAAGGCGAGGTGTATCAGCGCCGGTAGATTCGGGCCGAGATACGAGGGCCATTTTCTTGCGTCCCAAAGAGCGGCGAAGCGAAGGAAGAGAAGGTATGAAAGGTACCATAGAGATAGGTTCGTCCATACAAGGAAGCGGAGGAAGTGAGGGAAGGTCGTGAGGGAGACGCAGTTGGCTGTCCACGGACAGTGGTGGTCCATTTTGGGGATGCAGCGGCGGCAGTGGCGACAGTGATGGGCTCGGGGAGGCTTCGGGGCCTTACACTTGGTGCACCAGCGGGTGCCGGGTACCGTGGGGCTTATAAGATCGGCGGTAGAATCATCGTCCGAACTCGAGTCTCCCAGCGTCTTATTTGTGGTCGGGTTCAGGACGGGCTTAGTGCCAGGGCGGGATATCGCGGGATCGTATTGGCCGGGAGAAACTGTGCATGCCCTATAGTATGACCACCATAGGCAAACGAGTAGGGTATTGAAGGTGATCGTCTGCTTCTTCGTCGGCGGGCCCGGATCGAGATTCTCGGCCTTGTGGAAGAGATACTGCGAAGTGTAGGCGAGAAAGATGATCAGGAGGCAAACGGCGGGAACAGCGAGCCTTTTCACGATGGGAGCGTCATTGAATCCGGCCATCGTGATCCATGGGCCACCTTCCGCGGAGCATTCGTCACCCCGATGGGTCTTCGGGTAGGGCGAAAGTAAGTTGGTATCGGAGTCTGGGTGTGGATGGCCACAAGTGCAGTGATCTCAGCCCCCGTCGTCGTATCATTGAACGCGGAATGCACTGGTGAAACGCGCGTTCAGGGGTAGCTTCGCTTATATAAGCCATGCTGAGAGCACCTCCCTTCAGAAGAACAAGTTGAGGCATCTCGATTCTGGAATGCGATGATCGACAAACTCAAATGTTCCAGGATTCCAGATGATAGGATCGTTCTGTGACCCTTTAAACCCAATTTAAAATATGTTATTTGTGAAAATTGGCCCCATGTTATGACGAATTTCCTTCTCGCACCCCTGAAGTGCTGAGACTTGAAGATGGTGACGAGAGTCGCTCAGCTGGTTCTTCGCAGGGACTGGCTTCTCACTAAGTCCACGGGCTACGCTAGTCTTCTCCTCGCGCTCTTGTATGTCCATGCCCTTGAGTGAAAGAATAAAGGTGTTGTGCTGACTTGAGGGCGGAAAAAAAGCTTCGCCTCTACTTACGCCCGACAATTTCATACCCTCGAGCGGTATGCAGTACTAGGTGCGTTGGGCGTATCATCTAACCCGGACATGAGCGTACATGCTGACCCTGGATCTACTCTAGATGAACCAAGAGGGACTGCTGTTTGTGCGCTTGGGCTCGTATGGGCGTTATCTTGGGGAGGGTCCTTACTCGCGAAGAAATTGCCGGATGCCGGCTCCAATTCCAGTTCGTCTGATCTAAGCCCGTTTGGCTGGCATGAATTGACTAACTGGGATAGAAGGCGAGCCTCTCCATGGAGAAGAGCAGAGGTTTATCGCTTCACCGAAGAGGCCGCGGCCACGTTACCAAATTATCCTTTCCATCTGTCTCTTCGTCCGGCTTGAGATCTTCCTTGCCGTGAGCCGTCAAACTCAATGCTCTGTTCCAGGGGTCGCGGTAAGCATTAGAGCTCATCATCCACATGGAGGTAAAATGCAAATACCAGCGCTAATTGTATATTTAAGCCCTTCGTTTGTATCCCCTTACTTATATACGAGCTTTATTTTGCCGTCCAACCAACGCCGGAAGAGAAGGATCAGAATGATCCATGGGGTGACCTCTTCCTAGATCTCGTGAACTGGATCACCACGTCAAGAGTGAGTTTGATGATCAGCATCATTCTCCTTGTCGTTGGGGCCCGCGATTCGATGTCTCAGACGACCAGGACAACCTTTTTCTGCGCGAATACTATGGATAGCAGCTCGCGGACGGTCACCCTACAATGGCTCGGAGTGTGTCTGGACGCCACCATCTTGATACTGCTCTGGCGCATCATGTCGTGGACAAAGTCGACACAGGCTCGATTGCGCACACTCTCCACGATATTGCAAAACAGTTACTACCTGGCTGTGGGTGTTTTCTTTCTTGTCGTCATCTTCACGAAACAAAGCTTCTGGTCGATCTACGGTTCAGATGTCATTTCCGACGGAATTATCCTCTCGGTTGTCTTGATCTCGTCCATCTTATTGATGTGTGAATCTACGCCGATTGTGCCTGTGGCCACCATTTTTATGGCTTGCGGCCAAGTCGCATCACTCAACAACGTTGACCGAATGCAAACCTGGCTACATGGAACAGCCTACGACACGCTCAAACCGCTCTATTGTCTCTTTTTCGGCTACTCCATCCTTCTCAGTCGACATCACATGCGTACGCTAAAGACCGCAGTTAGTCTCGCCATCTTCTGTGCTCTCGCCGTCGTTATATTCACGGCCTTACCAATTACGATCATAAGGGCTAGGAAGCACGGGTTCGACATTCACCCTGTAAACAAGCTAATATATGAGGCCCGAATAGGGTCAGATCGTTGGCTTACCCGGGCATCTATCAGTGGCAGCTTAGAAGTGGCGGTCTCGGAATATAAGGAGCGTAACCACGGGAAACAACCACCTCCGGGCTTCGACGCTTGGTTTTCCTTTGCCAAGGAGAAGAAGTCATTGATCATTGATCACTTTGACCAGATTGGGAATGATATACTTCCCTTCTGGAAAATGTCTCCAAAGACATTGAGAGCGAGAATGGAACAGCTCAATAACCAACCAGGCATAGCAATGGTCAAGATCCGTGGAGGGAAAGCCTCCACAGATACAAAAACAAACCAGGACAACCACCCTCCACGCCAACTAGAAGAGCTAGTTTCTATGATTTCAGCCTTCTCCAACCACCTTCCAGATATGGATATGCCGATTAACCTTTACGAGCAGCCCAGGGTACTTTCTACCCATGGGGGCACGTCAAATGTTTGGGCATCGACATCGATTCCCGAGCGCCGTCACATGGAATCACTAGGCTGCCCACCGGGATCTTCGGTGAGATCCCGGCAGCCCTGGAATATCCGTGACCTAACCACGACATACACTTCCTCCTACTCGAAAGGCCAATTCATTACTAACTGGGAGCGATCCCTAGACATCTGCAGCCAACCAGATGTGATGGCCTACCTCCACGGATTCCATATGGTCCCACCTGTAAAGCATGAGCCCTACGTGCAACTCATGCCAGTATTCAGCCGCTCGAAGACGAGCGGCTTCAGTGATATCCTAATCCCCCTTCCAGGCAATGGCGACTCTGCAGAGGAGTCGATGGGAAACTTCCATCACAAAGAAAACACCCTCTATTGGCGGGGTGGATATGGGGACCCAACGGTCGGGCAGCAAGGCTTGCGTGGCAATCACAAGCATCGAGTAGCGCACCTCGTCAACAATGCAACCTCCTCCGACGAGACGCTAATCATTCTCCCGGCACTGAATAATAATAACAATAATGGGGCGAAATTTGCTTACAGCAAGGTTCCCACACAGGAACTCAACGCCCTCCTCCCAACGGACATTGGCTTCACCGCCGACCCTAACGCACACACCTGCACGACACCGCGAACTTGCGCCCCTGCCCTCCTTGAGCTCGGCGCTACAGAAGAGCCTCAGCCTGGCCTTCATCCCCTCGATCACCGATACATTCTCATCCTAGACACAGACTCGGGCCCATCCTCCTCGCCGAGTACTCTCGCCGCATTAAAATCCAGCGGCGTGCCATTCATATCAACGATCTTCACGCACTGGTACACGGAACGTATAATGCCTTGGGTACACTTCGTCCCCGTCGACATCAGGCTCACCGGTTTCCACACCGCGCTGTCTTACTTTACAGGCTTACGGCCAAGGCGCGGAGCGGACCGTGACGGCAACGCCAACGGGGAAGGGGAGGGGGAGGA